AAAACATTATTTTGATTCTGTCTGGTTCCTGCAAGCTTGCTGAGCTATGTTATTCAGTAATGTTTGGCATATGATAACTTATCCGAGACTGGTGCACAACAAGAAAGAAAATAAGGCCAGGTTGAGGCTGACATGTATTTCCATGGTTTTGTTCTTAGTCTTTGAGCTTTTTGTCAGGCAGTTACAGTCCTTCCCTAGATGTTTTATATAAGCAAATACTGGCTGCAGCACTTATTCGCTTCCAGAGCACTTCAAAGATTGGGTTGTACTTAAATACCTGAATGATCTGAGCTCTTGTCTCTGAGAAAGAGGTCTCTCTCTCTCTCGTTCTGATCCATTGCATGCGATGAAACCCATTATATCAGATATGTTGATCTCAGAGCGGACACTCAGGAGCCCTAACAGAGCATTTGCAGAGGAGGTCATGTTTAGGAAGAAATACAGAGTTTACATATGGCTTCATCTTTAAAACTAGCTCCCCATTAGAACTGCTCAGGGAATGGTATTGTCGTCTTACAGGGAGTTTTGACATTTTCATGTTTAATTTTTATTTAAGATGGAGGTAAGCTCTTGACAAGCCTTTGAAATAGTGGAATTCATTATGAAACAAAAGGTTCCAATTCAGAAAACCCGAAACAAAATACTTTGACATTCCCTAACAAAACTTTTTTATCCTGGAATCATCTCAATTCAATATTTTCACATTTTGGGCTTCATTTTGTTACAGGAAACAGAGACATCTGATTTTTCAGAGTCAATGTTAGGATTGTCTAGGATTTCCCCGCTTTTTCTCCTCTTTAAACAGCAAAAGAAAGAAACTTTTCCCCATTCCTTTCAAGTAGAAATGAAGCCAAAAGATAAAATGTGAGATGAGATGGAAACACTCTTCTTTCATTGTTATGGTTTGCCAACAGGACAAAGTTGGCAAATGTTAACAAGGATTTAGACTGTCGGGGAAAAAACCTTCTTTACTACACTTTCAATTTCTCAACTTTTCCAGGAAGAAAAAATAAAAAAGAGCGCAGAATGAATTCCCTATCCCATAACACACACACACACACACACACACTCACTCTCTCTCTCTCTCTCTCTCTCTCTCCTGGAAAAAAAAGAAGAAAGGAAAAATGCCAAATATCAAAACGAATGTGGAAAGCTGAACCCTTTTGTTTCCACAAATTGAAAACAAAAACTGTCAAATATAATTTGTTGTTTTAACAACGTCAAAACTGTTGAAATCCCTCTGCTCTTGCAAAGATTTATATTTTAAGTTATCTGGGGTTTTTTTCCCAGCAGGTTTAGCTAATTCTAGTATTAATTCAGTGGTCGGAAAGGTCCCTTTTTAAATAATGCATTTAACGAGCGACAAAGTTAGTGGTGTGTTACAGCTCCCCAAATGGCTAGCTTTGTTTCAATAATGTACCATAAAGCACCCAGATGTTCTGTTAATGGGAACTAGATGTGTTTATAAATATTAAAAATGTATGAAATCAGCCAGACCAGCATTATGTGATCAGACATTCATTTTTCATTTTTAAAACCATCATTCTTAAAACTCAGTTCAAGAAAGGAATTTAGCACAGGCTTACATTTAAGCCTGTGTTTAAGTCCCATTGGGTGCATCCACACATGCACTTTACTGTGTATTAGATGAATTTAATGCACAGTAAAACATCACCATCTACATGTGCACAGCAGTTACTTTGCAGTAGATTAATTTAAAGCACATTTTGCTAATACTGAGAGATGCAGGTTCTAGAAAACAGTGATTTAAACTAATGTGCCAAAGTGCATGTGCAGATGCTGACTGGGAGCTGCTGCAAATTGCTCCCAGTCAACCCAGGTAGCTGGAGACCACAACTGCTGCCTGGCTAAGCCCTGAGTTCTTGTGGGGGGAGATAGGGGAGCTATCATGGCAGTTCCCAGCTGTCCGGGGGCAGCTCCAAGCCATGTGGAGCCTGGGGTTAGCTAGCCCTGTGCTCTGCACGGCTCAGAGCTGCCTCCAGAATTGGGGACAGCTCCCCCCACCCCCCGAGAGCCCAGGCCTGATCCCCTATGCCCCCTGCCAGCTCGGGGCTGGCACCTGGGGGAGCCTGGAGCTCCTGTGGCTGCTGCAGGGGGGCAGAGCAGGGCAGGAGCAACCCTGAACTAGGCTGCTTCTTTTGGGCTCAATTGGCTCCTGACCCAGGTGCAAATGTAGACATGCACCCAGGAGCAGCTTAATGCACCTGAATTTACTGTGCAGTAAATTTAGGCGCATTAATTAATTGCACATGCAGACACACCCATTGACTTTGGTAGAACCCAGAGCCTTTTCTCAATAGGGATGCTTTCCTGAAGGGCAGCTACAGTGAGAATAGTTTAATGCTAATACCTGGGTCAGTGACATGCAAGCAAGAATTCATTAATATTGCAATAAATTCAGGATCTCTTTGGCATCCGATGCTTGCCATTATACTGAAAACCGTGTGCTCAAATGTTAACGGGCACATCAAGGATAGATGATCAGATCCTCCTGTTCCAAAAGCATCAGTGTCTACCCCTAGAGCTAAGGGAGCATCTACATTAACTATTAAATTAGGGACTTCAGTGCACATCTGGACAGTTCTGATTCCTTTCAGGGGTGTGTAGTGGTACACAGAGAGAGAGAGAGCAGGTTATTACAATGGTCATGAAATTATCAGTCTCATTAGACTTGAAACCTGTTTATTAGAAAATCATTTACAATGTTTTTCTTCCCTACTGGTGCAGAACACTTCTTATTTACACAGATCACTTTAGGGGTAGCATTTAATATTTAGCTTTCACATCTGAGGATCATGTTCTGTTTGGAAGATAAATACAAGGTTTCGTGTTTCTTGAAGTAGGCCATGTTGTGAGGGAATGAGTCCATGTCCAGCTGTGGTGGGTTGGGAAGGGCCTTGCATGGCTTAGAGAGATGATTACTTTCCCAGCCACAGTGTGAGGCACGGGTTTTCAACGGCTGAGTACAATGGGTGAAGAGTGCAAGTAACTTAAAATGAAGGAAATATTAAGGACTGCCATTAGTAATATTTTTGGTGACCTTAGAGGAGCAGGATAAGACTCATTGTTTGTTTGGCCCTTGTCCTTCCAAGTATGTTGGCTACTATATCTTGGAGGTCATTGGCAACACATAGGGGGCGCACGTGGGTGCACATGTACCCCCTGAGATCAGCCGTACCCAGTGGAAGCGCCAGCCGTGAAACTGGAAGTGCACTTCCTGGGTCAGCGATCGTCGGTGGGGGAATCTCCTCAGCTGGCAATCAGCCACTGGGGGACCCGCATCCCCCTGTTGACAATAGGCTGCTGGGGGACTCCCCCCATTGGCAATCTGGTGCCCCCCCCCAGACTCGGGAGGTACCAGTCACCCATGTTAGAGGTGACAGTTCCTTGGCACTTGTCTCATGAACTTGTTTGGTTGGGTAGGGAAGAGCACATACATAAGTGGTTGGAGATCTCCTCAGGGAAAAAACATGGAGCAGAAGGGCAGATAGTTAAGAGAGGAGGAAAAAAATGGTTATAACTCGCAGAAAACTCCTTGGCTTTGGAAGATGATTCAATACGGGACACACATCCTATGATATATTAAGGTGAAGTATTGAATATCCATAAAGGAGTACTAGCAAATGGTGTCAATTTTCAAACACTTTGCTTTGTCAGCTTCACAAATTTAAAATCAATCATCAGACAGTCTCTGTATAGATCAGTTGAACAGACATAAAACCCAACGGTTATCTCACTGGTGAAAATCTTAAAATTAAAAACGAGTTTATAAAGACGTTGATTGGCAGACTTCCATAATACTAAAAGATGGGGTCCTGCAACTGATCAGTGTGAAAAGAAATGCCAGAAGAGGTAACAGGGTAGCAGCTGATCCATCTGTCTTGGGGACAACGAAATAGCTTCTATGGAAATTTTCATTTGCAGTAAGAGCTCCATGTTCTTAATGAATTGTCACAAACACATGAAAAGCCAGCTACACTTAAAGAATCACTGGACAACCTCTGGAGAGTGATCATAAATATCTAGCTTTTGTATAACAAAACCTAGATAAAAGGTTCATTTGGTGTTAAAAATAGCATTTGTCAAAATTATTTTTTAAAGTCTATGGTTCACTGTTATATGCCTAATATCCTTCATTTAGCCATAAATGATGCATGTACCAAAAATGAAGTTTTTGCATTTCATAGTTTCATAGTAGCTAGGGTCAGGAGGGACCTGAACAGGTCATCTATCCTGACCCCCTGCCACAGGCAGGAATGAATGCTGGGTTCACAGGACCCCAGACAGGTGATCATCCAACCTCCTCTTGAATTTGCCCAAGGTAGGGGCAAGGACCACTTCCCTGGGAAGTTGGTTCCAGATTTTGGCCACCCTAACTGTAAAATATTGCCTTCTGATCTCCAACCTAAACCTGTTCTCCATCAGCTTATGACCATTGGTCCTCGTCACCCCAGGTGGTGCTGGGGAGAAAAGGGAAAAAACCTATTTGAAAAGAGAAAAAAACCTTTTTGGTGATGATCTCCCCTGATGAGCTTGTAGGCAGCCACCAGGTCCTCCCTCAGCCTCCTCTTGCTGAGGCTGAACAGGTTCAGGACCTTCAGATCCTGCTAATTTCTATTAGCAGATTATTAAAATATGCCTGTTTCATATTTGCAGCTATCAGACCAATATGCTCAGGTTTGTGACACTGAACTATTCCTCACGAGATGATGACGATGGTATCGTTTCTATTAACTGCATCAACAGTGTGTCCCACCATGCAGAAGTGTAAAGCATTCACAAACTGGAGGCAGATCCTCTAGTGCCATCTCAGCTAAATACCCATTTACATACTAAGTCAACCATATGTGAATGGGAGTTTTGGGGAGGGGCACGACCATGGGCACCAACATAGATTTTTTCCCCCCTAGGTTAGAAGAATAAAATAGAAAAACAGGGGCCTAATAATCTAATAAAAATGGCTGTTTTCTGCCCGGCAGCGGGCTTCCTTTGCAGACCGCGCACGGCACGGGCTTGGCGCATTCCAGCGGAGGCTCCGGGAGCTCCAGTGAATCCGAGAGCAGCTCCGAGTCGGACTCCGACAGCGAGAGCAGCTCCAGCGACAGCGAGTGTAACGAAGAGTCACGCAACGCGACTCCAGAGGTAATGCTACAGACCCATCCCCCTTTTCCGCATCCTTCCCAACGTGCCCTTAGCTCATTGTCCCCTTAATTCGCTGACCCCTTCATTGTCATAGAAAACACAATCTTTTTATCCTTCAGAGAAACAGGCGAGTCGTGTTCAGTTTGCTCTTATTTACTCGCTTCCCCTCCTGTGCCATCAAATGTGTGACCCACATACTCATTTTAGCTTTTGGGAAAACCTCCTGGCCTACATTTGAATTACTCTAGAGAAATGTTTAGATTTTTGCCTAGTAGCAGGGAAGATTTTATTGACACAATATTCATCTGGGATGAAGGAAAAGCAGCACGACAAAAATGATATCTTTAGGGACCTGCTTAACTTTTTAGTTGTATTAAATTTCTCCAGGGCCACATTGTAAACCGGATAAGGAAGCCTAATTAACCATAAATAGTCCATAAATACTACAGTAAAACTAGCAGTAACCACTGGTTGACTGAAATAAAAGGCTGTGTTCAACATGTAATTCTCATCTAAATTAGAAAGCATTGCTCCTCTAAGATCGGTTCCCTTTTGTTCCTCAACCTGCAGCCTGAGCCTCCCTCCACAAACAAATGGCAGCTGGATAAATGGCTGAATAAAGTGAATCCCCATAACAAGGCCATCATCAACAACCAAAACGAGACTCATAGCGATAACAGTTCTCAGTCGCAGAGCAACCAACAGGCGGAAGGGCAAAACAAAGGGAAGCTTAATAGCCTGCCCCAGACTGATTCCAAAGACAGAGCGATCCTTAGTCCCATCCGGGAGAAAGCCAAACCGCGAGTTGCCCAGAAAACCCCAGAGGCAAAAAGTTCCAAGCAGAAGTCACCAGCTCATAATGAGCCAACGTCACAAAGGACTACGGGGAAAAAGCAACCCAAAAAGGTAGAAAGGACTTCCAGTGTAGAAGAGTATAACTGGCCCAAACCAAATAATACCAGCACCACTCCCAAAGAAAAAGATACCCAGGAACCTGCAGAACAGCAGAAGGTTCGGACAAAAGCATCCGTCGGAAAGACAGCTCCCCGAAAAGAACCGCGAACGAGCACCGGGCTCGCTTCCGAGAAGAAAAAATATCGAGGCCCCAGCAAAATTGTCCCAAAGTCTCGTGAATTTATTGAAACCGATTCCTCTACTTCTGACTCCAATACAGACCAGGAAGAGAGTTTGCAGGCTAAAATATTACCTGCTTGCAGTGGGCCTGCCAATGGCATCAAAGTGAAAGACTCTGGGAGTAACATCCTCAGTGTCAGCAGTTTAACTAGCAACGGCAGCAACACATCAATAGACCAGACGAGCAATGATTTAGAGGAGCAGCTGTTTTCACCTATCCCAATCGTGCAAAATGAACTTCTGTCCCCGCTGAGGGAATACGAAGAGCTCAAATCCCTCTGGGTGAAAATAGACCTTAGCTTATTGTCTAGAATACCTGGACAAGAGCCCTTTGAGACCGCGTCAGTGAAAACCGAACCGAGAGAGGCAAGCGTGAAACACAGGCGACCATCTCGAGAATCCCCTACTCCGGCTGCGGTGGAAAAACCTTCTACGAAATCCAAAAGGAAGCACAAGGTAAGCAATTTTCTAGTCCAAAGGAGGATACCCTGTTTCTTTATGTTAGTGCAGAGGGTACCAAAGTCACTAGAGCTTCCCCGATACGTCCTTCTTCAAACCTGCCCCAAGCATCTCAGCAGTGATCTAACAGAAAACTCAGTGCTATGGCGAGATGTCGTATTATTCCGATTTTATTGTTTTTACAAAAGATGCGACACTGCATTTACTAGCGTATCATAAATTATCATCATAAACTATTTAAAGCCAACCTCTAGCTATCAAAATCAATCTGTGATATATCTTTGATGTTTTCCCATTGTAGCTGCTCACTCGCCTATTAATTTCCAGTGTTCATTAATCTACGGTGGGCCTTCCAATACCGACTAGTGCAAATTGCTCGGGTTTGCCTACATCCAGAAAATGTGATGTCTGTTTGGATGGCAGGTTTTTATTGTCTGAAGAATTGGGGCCTATTCACCACTGGTTTAAACGAGAAGAGCCTCGTTAAAGTCAATGGAGTTGTACTTGCCTATGTTCCTGGTAAACATAGTCTGTAAAATATAGTGTTGTTCTGTAAGCAAATGAGGTTTATAGAAGTATCATTTGCTTAACTAGATGTTCTCTCTTTGCAACTCTCTGAGAAGCAGAATGTATATCAACTTAGGGGACTATGTTTTATCATGTGTTTTATATTATTGATGCCCAAGGGTATCCTATCTTTTGGGATATGACAGTATGCATCAAACTAAATGTGTTTCCAGAAAAGACACTGAGGATTTTTATCATAAATGAATATTTGCAGTGTTTTTTTCCAGCTGAAATGGCTATTCCCTGGTCTCTCAGAGGGGAGACATCGTTTCATATTTTATACCCCAAATTTTATAAATCATTGCAAATGTGACTCCAACCATCATTTCTATTGGCCCCCTGAACTGTATTAAAATGCTGATTTAGAGCAGTCTGAAGACAGAGGGAGAGAGCTAATACAAGACAAAGGTCTGTAGCCCTTGCTCCTCTGAGTAGTCACACTGACTTCAGATTGAATTCAGTGGGAATAATCACCTGAGTAAGGTGAACAGTAACTCATACCGCTCGTTTCTACTTTACACCGATCATTTACATTTACACAGAAAAAATGTATGAATGATGTGTGTGGGTGCACCTGCATGCACACATACACACACATCCATGTGCATAGTTATGTTGATCATAACTTATGGTAATCATTTAATTGGTAATTTCCTGGGGTTTAAGTTTCAGAGGAGGAGTCCTGGCTAAAAGAAGAATACAGTATTGGTATCTAAACCTAGGGCTCTGGAAAGATAATGGGATATGTAAAAAAAAGAGACCTTCATCACCTCGTTAGCTGGGGCTTTGAATCAAGGACTGGCATAGTGAAAGGGAACTCACTCTCAGATGTTAGGGTACTGCACTAGAATAAAAATATTCAGGTAAGTATTCAAATAGCCTTTTTCTTTTCCTTTCTTAGGGCTGTACGTTCATCATTAGCTTTGCTCACAGTGACGCTAGAAAATCAAGCCAACTAGAATGACTTTTGGGTGTGAGCGTGCTACACCTAGTTAAAACATGACTTGAAATAAGCAGTTCAGGGTTTTTAAGTGATTTTATTAGAACCATTTATTTTAAGCAATTGTTGGGTTTGAGAGCAAATAGGCAGTTATAATATGCTTTACCTATAACATCTTGGTTCAAACCCTGGGATCATGCAGCAGGGGATCTTGTGTGTGTTAATGGCCATCACCGTGGGGCTCCGCTGTGGAGTCTGTAACTCGGGAGGAATCGTTCTTCGTGAAAGTCGACCTGTTGACTTCACGTAAATCATAAGTAAACGCAGTTCAGTATTTTGTGGGATCAGGTCATTACATCTTGATTATTAATTAAATAACAGTAGTGTACAGAAAATAGCCATGAGAATGTGGGGACTTAGCTCTTTAATATCTAGCCATGTGAGGAACTATGCAAGTTCAAGCAAAACAGAAACCACTGTGCCCCGTATTTGCAGTGCGGTTGAGTCCGTTTAGCTGTGATTTCAGGCAGCTCTCACATCGGTATTGTAACTTCCTTCTAATTGTTGGTGCTGTAGAGGAAATACACTGAGTTTCCTGAGCTGCTCCTAACAGGAAGGCGTAGCGGTGCTCCATTTCTCAAGCTATCCATTTTTTGTTAAAGCAGTCTGAAAGCTCAGATACTTATGGAGAAAGCAAGAAGCAGCGCCTGGAGGAAACCTCAGCTTCCTGCCTACTTCCACCTTGTATCTCTCCAATACCCAACCACAGATTAAGCAGCACTAAAGAGTAAGTTTTTTTTTTCCTCTTTAGCATTAAGATTTGACTTTCTGATAGCGTTTTCTGCTATTTTTGGGTGCGGGACTGCATGAGGAAGGGTGGGTATTGCTCATTGGCATGGATGGTATCATTGTTTGCGTAAGCTGTACTATGGATCCAGTTTTCCTGAATGGACCTGAGTTACCATATGGCTGGATTGCAATATCACCCAGGCACTGAAATATTGATACATATCCTTCCAGCTGGGCCCAAGCTGCTCTGATTAGCTCCAGCCTTTGTGTTGAAACGGTCCCTCAAGAAGCGCTCTATATACGAACGTACAGGTCTTGTAGAATTTGTTTGAAAATATTGCTTCTGCCAATGCCAATGCCAAATCTTGATTTTTAGTTTCAGTGGGATCACAATTTGGCCATTATACAAAGCTAGGAGCAATAGTTGGTAAAGGCTTCAGACATGAATATTGCTTTATTTTGTAGAGTGCATATATGCATAGTCTTAGTTTCTCTCTGAAGTATTGTGCTTCTCAGAGGTGGCTATATTGCTTCAGTAAACAGGCACCCCATAAATAACGTTTATTACTATCATAATCACCAGATTAACAATTTATAAATACAGATAGGTCCTGATTCTCTTCTCTCATCAGTATGGCACTTTTATTGCCTTCAGAGGAGCCACATCTGATTTACGCTTGAGAGAGCAAAGAATCAAGCCCAGGAAGTGCATGTTCTTGTGGGGAAAGTATCACAGTCACTTTTAAATATGTAAAAATGGTCAGAAATGGATGGGCATGCAGTTTAAATCTATACAGAATTCTGCAGATTATAGTCTTATTTTCACTGGTATTACTCCCTGTGACCTGTTATTGTCTTAATCTAGACATGAAGGTAATAGTCCCTGAAAATATAGTCTGATCCTATGTGATAAAACTGGAAACAGCTGAGAGTTGCAGGTCGTGGTGTGGTTTGTAACATGCATTTAATAAGCATCATGATGGGTGTTGCCTGATTGTCATTCCTGGGAATACAGTGAGCTGAGATGTATTGCAGAGGGAATAAAAAATTATCCATCCCCAACACCTCCACAATCCATTAAAAAAATCTTTCTATTCCTGTCTTCAACAAGCCCTCAGGATCCACCCCCAACCTGATGTTTCTTAATTTGAGCTTGTTTTCCAGGTCATTAATTTGATTCCTTAGAGCTTTCAAGCCTTTGGTATTCTCCGTTAAAATATAATTGTGTCCATCAATAGTTATTTCCATATGTTAGCTTTTTCTCTCGCCCGCCTCAAGTTGTGAACAAAAAAATTCTGACTTCTCCACTGAGGTGACTGAGACCTGGATCGTATCACATTTGTTTTAATATCTTCTGAATTCACATTAAACAAATCCAATATTGTTTGCTAATTTGGGTCTGCAGTTCCCAGTGACAGACAGCTGAATGTAGGTCAGCCCATTTCTCAAAGATTAGGGAACTGAAAGTGTGATAGCAAATTTCTGGGCAGCCCCATCCTATTTTTAAAAATTTCTCACTTATTCAAAACTAGGGGAAAGAAATAGCATTGCAGTGGCAAAACATTAAGGCTGCTTACAGATGTTAACACCCCCCACCCCGCCCTCCCCAAAACGGCGCTTTACTTTAAATTTGGCACGCTCCCCGTCTGTGCACAGCACGTGCCCAAAAGAGGCATCACATTACTTGGACCTGGCTCATTTGCTTGAATCAGCTATTAGATAAAAGCACCAAAAAGCCCCACTGAAGTGCCCGATCTATACAGATGCTGCAGAGCCGGGTCCAACTAACACGATGCCTCTTCCCATAAAGCTCTTTTTATATTTTAACATTTATAAGCAGCCATAAAGACAAGCGTAGTCATTTCAGTCATGAATTTTCTTCTCAATGGTTCAGTATTTGAATTCAGTAGAACCTCGCTAGTCTGGTACTTAATGAGTGAGAACAACTGTGAAATAGTGAATGAAGCCCCAATCCTGAGGACCCCCATGACCTTAAGTCAATCCTGCATATGTCCAAGGGTCCACCCCTGCAGAGATGGCTGAAGATTGTGATCTCTGGGCCATTTTTTAAAGATACTGAGACCCCCTAAAAGATGCAAGTAGGAATCTACTGGGGCCTCAGAAATACCTAGAAACTTAACTCTTATTGAAATCAATGAGCTACATGCCTGTATGCTTTCTGCACCGTCTAAACACCTTTCAAAATCTGGCACTAAGTGAGTAGAAACAAGAGGATAAGCAAGGACACTGTCTCAGATTAGTTTTAGAGGGCTACACGTGTCAGTGTATAGGTCATTATAGATATAATTTGCACATATTTCCAAAACATGAACAAGTTTGAAAACTGCAGGGGAAAGCAGGGTATTTGTATGTTCAAATGATCAGTTTTGAACCTAATGGCAATCTGCACACGCAAATTTAAACACACATAATCTGGCCATTTAGTTATAGTAACAGCATTATCCATTAGGCTTCTCTCTGTTTGTGTCTTTCTTTAAACAAGGGTCAGCAACGTTTCCTGGCAGTGGGCCGGAATAACTCAACTTGTTTCCAAGCTGGCCACTACTGCCACTGCTTCTCTCCACCCCTGCCCTTCTGTGCCACCCATCCATGGCATAGCAAGGGCAAAGCTCACAGCCGCTGCCCAGTGTGGGATAGGCAACCTCCCCCAGCCCTGAACGCCACCAAAACTTTTGCTGTTTGGGTCAGATCAAATGACTGTGCAAGCCAGGTCCAGCCCACGAGCTATAGGTTGCCGAACCCCGTTATAAAGTATCCTGGGCTTCTTTCTTTTCCCAAATCTAAACCAAGATATTACACATATAATGATTTCAAACAATTATAACTTAACGTTAATAATTTCTAAGACTCTGCATCGTGCTAGTGAATACATTGTGATATGTCAGGCACAAACATTTGTTTTACTAGGATATCTCCCTAAGAGCGTTCAGTTAAACTTGGGCAGGAACAGTTTATACACCGCAGTTCTGAATGCAGTTTCAAGCTGCCTAAAACTATGTGCAAAATGGGGTTGAATTCAGTACATCTCTTCAGCCTTCTCTTATTTCAGGAGTGTCAAACCCATCCAGCCTAGCAGGCCCCAGATTGGGCCCACAAATCAGTCCCGCATTTGCTGGCTCCAGTCCCACTTGCCACAAGCAGTAGGTGCTGGCCCTGGACCCACGTGTGGTGCTCAGAGCCGGGGCAGGTCTAGGGCTCACACTGCATATGATGCATGGGACCAGTCTGGGGCATGCACTTGTGATACCCACGCCAGACTAGCCCTGTCTGTTGGATCTGAGACCCAGAGACAACACTGCAGGCTGCATGATAGAGCTCCATGAGCCAGATCTTTGACATCCCTGCTAGATTTGCTCCCCCTATTTTGTCCTCAGGAAAACAGAAACAAAGAGGAAAGAGAATAGGTGGTTTCAAAACGTAATAAGTATTGCATTCCTACACGGTGGTATCTCCAGTGGGCCTATGTGCCTCGTTTCTACAGATTGCTTTGGACATTAAGCACATGCAGCATTTTATTTTTTTTAGATCCGCTACCTGTTTCGCAGTAAGAAAATTGTTATTTATTTATTCACTTGCAAAAGCAATTTTGCAGGTGTAATTAATTACACATGCAGGTGATGGCAATTAACGTCTAACTGCTTGTTCGGTGGACACAGTCCAATCTGGTAAGACAACTAGTTCCCCACATTTCAACATGCATAATAGCACTAGTAGTTATTCACATGTGCAAAATGGGAGTCTGGTTTGACAATGAGGCCCATAGAGTTAAGTATGCACATTCTCGTACAGGGAATTTCCTGTCCTAAGCAAATATTTTAGAGTATCTCTGAGATTTCCTGTTCACTTTTGTTTGACCTTTAGTGAAAGAGGCATCTGTACTAGGCAACGTCCACTTGCTGATCCCTTGGGTGGTCACAACAGCTTTCAATGTGGCGTTTTTCACAATAAAACTAGCCTAATACCTCTGTGACAATGACTTCAGCTTCATTCAGTTGCTGCTGTACGGTCCAACCTAGTGTGAGAGTGGCCTTTCCCCACTAACCCCCTGCAGAAAATCGGATACACCATCAATGTGAAGCATTTTGTTGGGGACACAGTGAGTGGACAGAAGAGAAAGCCAAATGACTAATATAGACAATGGCTTTGTCTCACTAATAGGCTAGAGATACTATAGCACACCAGAAGGAATGGATAAATAAAGGGTCAAGAATGGCAGCTTGAAATTCGAGAGTAGATGAAATTCTCCGTCTTTTAACACTGACCCTCTTGTTCTTGCTTCCTCCCCTAAAATAAACCAGGCTGAAAAAGACAGATGTGGAGACTTCTAATTTCTTGATAATTGGCCTTCTCAGATACAAAGATTAAACCCCGGAGCCAAAAGACCGTCAGTTCTGCTTGTATTTTTCCATGCATTTTTACTGCATTTGTCCCTGGATTATAAATATAGTTTAACTAACTATCACATCAGCAAATTAAATCGTGGAGTCTGGGTAATTATTGCAATAAATTCATTCAAAATTAGCGATTACCGCAATGAAAGACCAGTTTGTTAGCCCATTAACGGCCCAAAGCAAACTGACAATCTGGTTAACTGCTGGTTACAATTGATTTCATGGAGGCTGTTGTTACCATCAATGGTTTGGTGTAAATCTAATGCAGATAATATTGCTGCAAAAATGATCGGTGCAGTTCCTCTGAAAACCGATTTGGATTGAGAAGGCAACAAACAAGCAAAATGGCGAGCGTTACTATGGCCTGGGACCATGATCATTAACAAGCTGCACAACGACCCTTTGAGGTCAGGGAGCCGACAGGGAAGGCTTTGAATGAGGGCTGTCAGGAGACAGTAATATATGATGTCTACCCCAGTCTTCCCTGGGAGTTCCCCATCGCTCTTGGAACATGGTTGTTTTCATTTGGTCATACTCAGTTGGCAAACATGTTTTCTGACTAGGATAGCATCCATCACCTTGTCATTGTAAGGCCAGATGTATACTGTGTTTATGAAGGTTTGAAGATCTTTCATATGGAAAAGACTTTTCAATGGGATATTTTTGTGGCATTTCAGTTGCACTGAAAATGTCTTCAAATAGCAAATGGCAATAAAATATCTTTGTTGACACAACAGGGTTTTATCTGGAAATATTAGCAGGATTTTATATTACCAAAACTGGCACAAAGGCCAGAATTAGGGAATGCCTGAAACAAAGATGATAATCATTAAAACTGGTAACATTGTGCAACCCAGCCAGATGGAAATAGGAAACCGGTATTGAATGTTAGCGGACTGAAAAATCAACAGGCTTGCATTGCTTGTTCCTCTTTGATTTGTGGCTCTGAAGTATTGTAAATCTATAATTCCTGACACTGACTAAAACCAACTAAGAGGGAAGTATAAATTCTTGTTGACTTAATTTGTTATTGAAAATTTTAGTCAATAATCATGAAAAGTAAATGGCTGTGTAGTGCAATATCAGTTGTCTAAGGAAAGATTAAAATTCAAGTAATCTTCATTGACCGGACTAGGGCAGTAACTAAACTAAAAATCTATGACCAAATTAACATGTTAAACAGTCAAGTTTTGTTTTTCTTTTTGTTTTTTTACATTATGGTCACGGTTTGTATGCTACCGACCATTTCTCCATAGAAGACAGTGTTGTTGTTCGTCTTGTAAAAATCAAATTTATTTTCTAGACTAGATTCATTCATTAACCTGCATTTGCTCAAGGACTTTTGTCAACTCCCCTGTCTCGGTTTTATGCAGCAACCTTCATTGTTTTTTCTCTAGAGGTCAAATAATTACTTGCTTGTTATGGTTGTGGTTAGTGTAGTGTAGTTGGCATAAACCGTTTTGCTCATTCACACACTAAGGGTAGGCAAACGAGCCCAGAAAAGGCACTGAAGAAAATGTTTCACTTTAAGCACAAAAATAGCTTTATTTGAGGACCTTTTCCCATGCACAAAGTTCTTCCTTTCCTTGGTGATGAGGCCTACTTTGAGTGCAGATTCAAGTCAGTGTTTAAAGTGCTCAGAACTTGTCGAAGTAGAGTTAAAGCAGTCCCCCAAGCAGAAGACCTTTGTAGCCCAAAAAAGCTAGACCCTCACTGGCCTCGTCGTTTTATTCCTACAACGTAAGGATTGTCACACCGCCATGAGAATTGAACGTAGCTTCCAGACACATAATATGAAGGATTTGGTGATATAGCGAATTTAAAAATATACCCAAAGGCTTGTAACACCATTCCCCTCTGTGTCCAAGGAGCAGCACTAACTCGGTTAAAAAGGCGGCTAAGAAAAGAGAAGAGAAGCTGTTCCCTCCTCCGCTCTCCCCGCTGTTGGATGAGCCAGTACACAGGCGGCACAGCAGTGACAACTCCTTCAACCAAGAGAGTAACGTCACAAACTCCTTGCAGACCAGCAGCTCTTCCTCGTCTACATCCAAACACAGAAAGAATGAAAGCAAATCCTCTGCTAACCCCAAAGGACTCTGTGTAAGTAACTGATCGGAGTTGCTGAAAGTGAACAAGATAAAACAAAAGTAACTAAGCTTTGTTCTGTTTGATTTTTTTTTCTCCAATATCTTTTTCAAATCCCCCTGTAACCTCACTGAAGAGAGGCTAGGAGCGGAGCGCTGGGGAGCTGTACACTAGCAACCCTTGCAAGTTCCATTTTTAGATCAGCCTTAAGCGTCTATTTGACACTGGGTATAACTGACTACAGCACCTGGTCCCTGAGCTTTATTGAGCTGCTTTTCCAGCAATGGGCTGTCTGCATTTAGTCCTCCTATCTCTGTCGCTTTTACCACACATGTATTAGAAAAAAAATGCTTTAATGAATTTGGTGTAAGTGTCGTATATTTAATGAATTTGGTGTAATGTTCGTATAGTTCATTTGAATAATATCCCCCCGAATTCGCCATTGAGCACTGTAGCTAAACTAGCTACCACACCTTGAACTAAGCGTGCAGCAAAAATCCATTTAAAAAAGACCAGCCTGTATGATACTCAGCACCAGCATATTGGAGCATTTACATTTCTACTGGAAGGTGCCTCCTTAATTATATTTTTCTCGTTTCCCTCCATCCACTTCAGTCCTACTTTCGTTTTCTTTTAATTTTGCCCCTACCAAATCCAGGGCTTCCTTACTGGTGGGTTTCTGAAACCATCAGCCAATCAGGCTTGGTCACAACCAGTCCTCTGTCCTCCACACAAGTGACCACACTTATGTGTATCAGGCTCACGTGGACCAACCAGGGTCCTTTTGTGCCTACTTTCCCCACGTCCCATCAGTTAGGCCTATGAACGCTTGGCTTCTCTCCTCTCACAAGCTTGCACACTTCCAGCTCCTATCAGTGAGGTTAGTTTGTGTAGTTCATAAACTTTCAACAATAATGTGAATAACCACTAAAAAAAAATACCCAAATTCCAACGTTCTTTTAAAAATCTCCCCTGTTGGATCAGTCCTCCTTAGGGACCAGCTATAGACATTGGTCAACAATGAAAAGATTGTCTGCTAAGGAAACATTTTTTTAAAAACTTTTTAAAAATGTATGAAGAGACAGCAAGCAAAAAATACACAGGAAATTTGGTGAGCATTAAAAAGCAACCCAGTGAGAAGCTTCACACTGATTGACTACCTGCATCAGTGATTTTCAACCAGGGTGCCATGGTCCCTTGATGTGCCTTGAGATCTTTTCAAGGGTACCACAGGGCCCCACATAATGTTAGCTGTTAGGTGTGCAAACATGATTCTCACAAGATAAAGCCAGAGATTTCAAATAGGAATCCTATAGCGTTAAAAATATTCGGACCTGTTGTGGTCTTTCTGAGTTCTTTGCAACAGAATAGCTCTGTTATATTTCTGTATTCAAAAAAGAAAGAGAATGAAAACAGCTGGAATTTTCTGAGGGGGTGCTTCAAGGCTATAAGGTTGAGAACCATTGACCTACATTACGGGAAATAGGAAAATTATGCCTCATTTCAAGCTAATTTTAGAAAGCAGCCCTAATATGGAATTACAAGCAGGTCTTCTCTCAAATACAAGTCCTGAATTTTAACCAGCACAAGACTGGGCATGTTAGGTCTAAATTTTTGCAGTTTCCCATATCATGGAAGGTCTCCAACTTCATGCCATAAAAACGAAACATCCAAGTTGTAGTGTATAAGTGACAATAGCCACGTGAAATTATTCTCTCAATCTTATTACTTTGTGATACTATTGTGTTACTAAAAGCCATGAGAGTAATTTATGTTCCTTCCACCAATATCAGTGCCAAATGAACTGCTTATGTCAGTAAATAAAAGGTGCTGTGTTAACACTAGGAACACTTCCCTCTTCGGTTCCAGTTTCTCTAGTCAGATTTATGTGTGACTTATCCAGTGAAATATTTACTGTCTAAAACTTCTCCCAGTTTATTGGTTAATCTGTAATTTAGTTCACCTGATTATAAACTGAGTTTAAATACAGTAGACCCCCGATTTACGCGAGTATTGCGTTCCAGGGGAATTTTGTGTAAGTCGAATTCGCGTAAGTCGGGACGACATTTCCCATAGGAAATAATAGAATAGTGAGGGGTTGCAAACCCCAGACATACCATAACCATAGCTTTTTTCCCCTTTTCTCAGTGGAATCGCCTTTAGGAGGTGCATCTAGCGTCTCACCTATGCATCTTGAGATGCTGCTACCATAATGGTGGCACAATGGCGGCACAGCTCCGTTTGATTCTGCCTGCAGATCTTGTGAGGCATTCATGTATATACTCAAATCTCATGAGCATTTGCATATATACATGAATGGCGTGCATCTCGAGGGGCATTCTCAAGTCCGGGCCCTAATAAAAAAATCACGTAAATGCGAGACGCGTACGTTGGAATCGCGTAAATCGGGGTCTACTGTATTGAAAGCAACTGTTGTAGTATGTAGCTCTAGCTTTACTCAATCCAGGATACCATTCCTAATTCCTTATCTTCACGCTCCTCTATGCACTTAAAAAATGCCTCTTGCAAGTCATGCTCTGTAGCATCCATGCTGATTTTAGACCTTTCCAAAAACATGTCAGTGAGGTCATGCATGTTAGCAAAATGTAATCACGGTGCTTAATTTGTTCCAGTGGGTTTGCCTCAGAAGGTAAACTATGGTGATATGTGTGGTATCTGGAGTGTAAATGGGTACTTGAATTTTAGTGTCAAGCAATATCAATCCTGCCTTTCCTTATTTCGTTTCAATGCTTGTCATTCATTAAAGGTGCCTCTGTCCAGCTTAAAGAACTAACAGAAGTCCTTTCCCACAGGAGGAAGAATCACACAATAGACCAGCAACAAACACACTCCCAGACACCAGCCATCTAGAAACAGACATCTGGTGTGCAATGCCTCCATTGTCCAATGGGAATTCTGAGTCAAGAAGACCTAAAATAACATTTGATGATGCGTATGTAGTAACAAACAGCCCAGTCACATCTGATGGGATTTTATGTAGATGTCCAGTAGATGCCTTTGTTGAATGTGACACAAACTTTTGGGATCTTCACGCAAGTGAAATTCCCATTTGGTTCAATGGGAACTCTTACCTTGAGATAAAGACAGCAGTGGGCCCTTGGCAGAGATATTCCTACTTGATGCTGCGTACGGTTTTACCCTTTACAAATGAATTGTTGTCACTGATTAATGAAGATTCTTTTGAGAAATGTTTTCAGATCATAAATGTTGAATTCCAGGGTAATTCTTCTCTAATTTTTTATTTTAGCTCTTCTAATGGAAACTTATTATAGTTAATTGGTTTGAATTATTTTTCCTTTTCTTCTGTTCAGCACACATTAATGGCCCCTCTGGGCTGCTGTTCTCTGCAGCCAGCTATTTTACATTCTGCTCACCTATCGCAGCTTTACCTTCAGTAGCTCATCCTCATATCAGAATGAGATTTAAGCAAATAATTGGGCAAATATGCCTGAATTGTTCTTAGAAGCAGTTGGCACTTGTTTCAGGTGATGTTTGTCCAACTGCTTGACATGAAAGACCTGAAAGAATTATCTTTGTCTTTTATAGGCTTCACAATGCAGACTATTACATGCAAGAGGCTAAGAAGCTAAAGCACAAAGCGGATGCACTGGTAGGTTATCAAATATTTTTTTTTGTCCTTCTAGTCTATTATTGAATTATGTGTCTCAGACAAAGTTACACATTGTGGGCCTTATTTGGAGCCCACCAAAGCCCAAAAGGCTCCTTTCTGTTGACTTCCATGAGCCTTGGATCAGGCTGCATATAAATCCAGAGTAAATTCAAGGCTGAGCAATGGGGTATTTCCCAATGCTGTGCACAGATAACCAAGGTAGCTGTGAGTTGTATACTGGAAACCGCAGTAGTGTGTCTCTCTGCCAAAGTTAAGTAGCCCTGCTGGGCGAAGGGTTTAGAGGGTTTAGCATAGGCAGATGGCCTCACTTAAGTGGCTGTACTGCTTCAGGTACCTGAGTTAGCCCTTTCTCAGAGCCTCTGGTGCCCCTGTACTTCATTCCCCTGTGCCATGTTGGCATCCCCACGTTTTCCAACCCCAGGAAGGTGGCCTAAAAGCAAATGCCAGCTGTTGCTGTGTGGGAGATGGGATTTTGAGATTTCTAATTTGGAGACATTGCAAACTGCTCTGGGACAGAGACTCTGAAAACACATTCATTTCACAGTCCGTTTTCACAAAATGACGTGACAAAGAGACGTAAAGTTTCATTTTAATTTCAAACTTTAAAATGTCGCATTGTACTATAATGTTTTAATATAGTATAGACTGGCAATAAAAACAAAAAGTCATTTCAGAACAAGAAGTCAGACTCTTTTAACACTGTCAAAACTTTTTTTTCCCTTTTCTGAACAAAATGAAGTTCCCGTAAAATTCCCCCAATCTGTCGAACCATTTTGACTTAATCGTGTCTTCTGATGGATGATGGTTTCATCAAGGTTTCTCTAACTAGCACTCCTGCTGAGCCTGAAATGCCCGCAATATAAAGCTTTCACTGTAATACAGTGTTTGGGTGTCTATAGACGTGCTCTAATTAGAACACGTTAGAGCAGGCTCTGTTAATTAGAACACTCCAGCGTGCCTCACCTTCATGTGTATAAGCCCCCATACATTTCAAAATGGTTGCATGGGCACTTTAAAGCTCATTCAACAAGCTTTAGATAAAGCACGCTTGCAGGCATTTTGAAATGCACAGGGGCTTATACACATGATAGTGAGGCTTTTTAATTAGAGTGGCTTTCTGGGAGCCATTGTAATTAAACCCACCATCCCAACTTCCGAGTGCATGTATAGTCACCCTTTGATCCTGTCTGCCACTGCATGTAGCACAGCAGCTCCTTTAGGACGCCTTAGTGGTACTTGACTCGTTTCTTTAGAACAAGATCTTTGTATCATGCAGTTGAGCACGATCTCTCAATTTACTCACACAAATTATACGCAAGTTCGAATAACAGGATTGCGGGGACTATTTTTACCCTTTTTAAGGTCATTTTTTTGCCTGTAAAACATGTTATTTGGCATCCAGGAATCTACCTTTCGTGCTTGCAAAATAAGCCTGGCAAACCAAAAAAATAAAATAAATAGAGAGAGAAATCGTAGTCTGGAAATGCTGCTGCTCTTGCTGCAAGTGGCAAGAAGGAGTAGGGGCCTGAGTCCACCAGTTTCAGTCGGCTTTGTTCCTCTTCCCGATTTGGGGGCATTAAGGGGCCCGGTGTGTTTTTCACAGGGCTCAGGCTCTGGTTGTTGCCAACCTCCCCTGACTGTCACAGAGCTAGAAGTCATACCTCCTGACGTGCCCATTTAGAGAAGGTGGCCCCTGCTGATTGCTTAAGACTGACTCAGTAGAGCATATTCAGTCACAATGCTGACATCTATACACAGGGAAGGCTTGCAGAAGCAGACTGACAACACCTCCTGCAGCTGATTGACCTTTAAGGAAAACACACATGGTTCTGGCATAAGCCTGCCTGCTCAACGCTAGCAAATATTTACAGGCTCAAGCTTATGATGGTCTCAACATGCTATGTCAATCCACTTTTCTCCACAATCTGATTGACTCAGAAAGTGTTGACCTGTCTTCCATCTTCTTACCTTTGACTATGCCCTACAGAATTAAGGGTGTTGCTCAAGCAGAACTAACATGAAAAGGCATTGCACATCATGTTGTTGCCAGCAGGCAGGTCTTTGCTGTCACATGTAGTTTGACACCCCAAGTGCTCTTACTGGAATGCCAAGCCAGCCACTGGGATATAACTTGTTGGCAGCTACAAATGCCCATGAACTCTGTGTCTTGCCTTTTCTTTCCATTATTTAGGTTTTACATGTTTTTTCTCCCGGTACACTTGCACACACATTATCTCCAAGTGACACACGTACCATGCAAAATGTGGTGTTGCTTGTCCTATAGAACCGATTACTTCTGGTTGCTTGGGGCTGACGCAACAAAGCATGCAAAATGGAAAGATCTGTTGTAGTGACAGGGAGGCTAATGCGCATGGCCCCTACCAGCGGCAAGCGGTTTTAACCAGATACGTGGTAGCAGTGTTTCTGGGCTTGCACCAAGAAGGGATTTCTGGCAAAAGTGAGGGCATTTGGAGTATCATGGAGTGCCCCAATAAAAGCACATCATTGCCTGGAACAACAGCAAGGGATCAACTAACTACAGATTGGGAAGACTATCTTTGGGACAAAACTATCATTGGAACAACCAGCTGCAGTCAGTAAGCAAGAGACCGCGGAGACCTTATTCTACCTTCATATATACCCCTGCAAAGGCAGTGGATTTCCACAGCCTTCATTTCAGTCACCCTGCATTTAGATTGGTATATGTGAGATCAGAATCATGTCCCCTGACTTTATCACCATTAATTTGCTAAATCACTTTATAGCTAGATTCATTTTCTATATTATATGGAAAATGAAGACCTGAAGCAAGGTTTTGGCCTAGATGAATTCTGGGAACTGATTTGTGGTATACAGAGAGGCTCAGATGGGTTGCCATCCGTTCATGACTATATGAAGAATACTGTAGGATGAGCAAACAAACAAAATGTATTTTGTTACCAGGCTGAATTTTGCACAATTAGGATGATAGGGTAGAAAGCAGCATTAAAACTTCTATGACCATCCCCTGTGTGGAACATTTCTGGTGCAGAGAGCTAGTAATGGTAGGCACAGGGTAAAATACACCAGTATCTTTACCGTTGTAGAGCTCTACGAATACATTGTTATAGGAGACTGCCATTTTGTGAATGGAAAACATACGCAAATGCATCAAAAATATTTTGATAGAGACATACATAGACGTTTTAAACAGGCCTGTGCTATATTGGTTCTTTTACATTAAGTGCAGTATTACATCCGGCTATCAACCATTGAAAACGTTAAATACTATTATGAAATACTTACTATAAAAGTGTCATAAAAATATTCATTCTGCATAAAAAAGAAATCAGTATTTCTAAGTCAGCTTAATCACAACCATTATCAGGGCTACAACCTTTTGCAATAAAATTCTAGTAAAATAAAATATTTAGCAGTGCTCTATTTTTTACCTTTTCTCCTGTTTCAGTGTAACCTAAGTGAGGAGACTTCTTTTTTTTTTTTTTCTGTCAACAGTCACAATGGAGCATCACGTTTATTCCATGACAAGTGGCAGGAATTTGTTACTTTAATTCTTGCACAGCAGCGTTCAAACTTAGTCCCGTGTATTGAAGGGGCAAAATGGAATTGCTAAAGTATGCACCGACTCTCATCCTCTGCTGGTGTATATTGGTGCAGTTCCATTGAAGTCATCAGACCGATGCTGATTTACATGGATCTAGCCCAATGTTATGTTAAACCTGGCTTAAATTTATTAAAATATTCATCCTTAGCATCAGTGTTGCTTTGTATTACATTGTGATCTATCTACCTGGAAATAAAAGCCAAAGCATCTTCTTGATGGTGTCATTCCTATTTCAGTTGGAGAAGTTCGGTAAAGCAGTGAATTATGCTGATGCTGCCCTCTCCTTCATTGAGTGCGGGAATGCTATGGAGCGAGATCCATTAGAAGCTAAATCTCCCTACACCATGTACTCAGAGACTGTGGAACTCATCAGGTTAATGTCCTTTCTGTGATCATTTTCATAATCTCATTTCAGTCATAATTAGAACCTGCTATGTTTTAAAAAATATCATTTCAACATATTAATGATTTGTCCAAGGCATCTTCATCTCAGAAGTCATCATAATTAGTTCTTGCCATTTTATTAATGTCATGGAAAATTTATAATTGATGGACACTGCTTTTATAAATTATCCCCTTTAGAGGTTATAATGTGAGTGTTATAATTTGCAATATTCATAAAATTAAAATTGAAATGTAGTGGGTGGAAGTAAAGTATAGTAATTTCACAGTTTGGCAATGACACTTGTCTTTTAAAAGGTGTAGTTTTATAATTCAAAACATTAAAGCGAGTCTATCAGGATTTCTATTTCAAACCCTGTTTTCCAGAGGTTTATAACTTGGCTGTAAAAAATTGTTCCAGTCTGGAACTTGGCATATAAGGTCACAGCCAAAGAGCAAGTTTTTGCATGTATTTTATATACTGTGTGTGTGTGTGTGTGTGTGTATATATATATATATATGTGTGTGTGTGTGTGTGTGTGTGTGTGTGTGTGTATCGTTTTTTAATGTTAAAGGAATGTTCAGTGACTAAAGTCCACTGAATTCATTTTTAATACAATTTTGCACACTCCTAGTCCAGAATATAAATGACAGCCTTTGGCTAATGTTAAGACGCCTGAGTTAGTTTTTGAAAATCAGCTCTTAGTTTCTATAGCTGCCTTATAGTATGGAGTCCATAGCTTGGTCTGCTGAAGAATTAGTGGGCCAAATCTTGCTCACTTGACTCACACACATAATAATCCCATTGAAATAAGTAGGACAAGATTTACTGTTGAGTAAAGCTAAGAGGATTTTGCCCTGACTCTCCTCTTGCCTACACCAGTTTTATCCTCATATATCACCAGTGATGCCAGTGCAGCCATTCCTGATCTACACCAGTGAGAGGAGCAGTGCAAAGTGTTTACTTTTTCTAGGGCATATTTTTATGGGAGAGATCCCAGTGTGTCAGATTAGCTATTAGAGTCTATCAAAAAATAATGCATGTTTTACATTTTGAATAAGTAGGTATTTACATAATAAAATGTATCAGATCTGAAGGAGCTGTTACTGCCAGGTAAATAATAAGCCTGTTAAATATTTAAAAATATGTATTTACATATTACACTTGTGACAAAGAAAGAGATTACACGGCAAGTATGATGTTCACACAACACTGAGGATCTAAGTAAAACTCTCAAGGGCCCTGAAATTAAGAACGCCTGCCTCTTCCTCCATCTCGATTGTGCCTAAATTTTGTGGGGTGCCTTACTATGTTGTCCTATGGGCTACAGGACATAAGCACAACATGATAGGGAAGGGTATAGGGCAGAATTTCCTTTTCTTTAAACCCTGTGAGCATTATTTCATATGTAAGAAATAGTGTTTTGGAGAAGCAAAGCTGCATGGTCCTGTCCGTCTATCTAATTCACACTAGTGTTTAGGGCAGTGCTTCTCACCCAGGGTGCAATGGCACCCTGCTGTGCCTTGAGATCCTTGCAGGGGTGCTACAGGGTGCCAGACCCTTCTAGCACTGTTAGGTTTACAAACATGACTCACAAGATAAGAGAGTTCAAACAGAAATCCATAGTTGTATCTTTCTGAGTTCTTTGCAACAGAAAAAATGGCTATATATAGGCAAAAAAGGCATAAAAACTAAGCTGGCTTTTCCAAGCGATGTCTCGAGCCTATGAAGGGGTACCTTGAGTGTAAAAAGGTTGAGAACCACTGCTTTAGGGGTACAATCCTATGCTTATTGAAGTCCCTGGCAACCCCCCTGTTAATTTTAATGATGCAGGATCAGAGGATACTCTGCACAAGGAAATTATTAACACTCCATGCTGATGGCCATAGTAGATGCTCCTGATCTTAATCCTTTCCTCGTTCTGAGCGTCACCAACTTCCTTACCATAAAAGAAGAGTCTCCGCAGGCTGCTGGCATTCATATCCATTTTTAAAGCTGCGCCCCTGTTAAGATTGGGTTAAGTCAGGAATCGCTGAATGAAGTACTGTGACCTGGGCAATCTGCAAGGTTAGACTAGATGATCTAATGGTCCCTTTGATCCTTCAGATATATGAATCCATGAATGATAAACCATTGCACACGGAAGATGACTAAACTCTACTCGCTTGCCCATGGTTTCAATTACTCTGAAACTCATCAATTCCTCAGCTGGATTTCTTTAAAAATAGGGGGTGTTAGGGAGTACTGCACCAGTGCATATTAATCACTTAATAGTATAATATCAGTTTGGATAGGCACAGGGCCTGATTTTCAAAAACTGTTGCACAGCCAGCAATTAAGTGCCTAAATTGTGTGCATGGTTATCCTGACTGCCCAAGTAAATCAAGTGACTGCACAGGTAAATGGCAGGTAGCTTCTCAGCTGGCTGTTTGCACTTGCAAATACACAATTTGTATATGCCACCTTGGGACTGTGTGCACAAATTAAATGCAAAATAGTGCACCTGTGTTTTTTAAAAAACACGGCCCTTAATGTTGCCATGTTACCAAAAAAAAAAAAAGGCTATTTATGACTTTCCTCACCACTCTCATGGGAGATAGATAGACCCCCATTCTCTCCAGCCCATTAATTAAACCTGCTCTGAGACGTGCGTATCCGCAGCAGACATTTATTTGTGGAAACAAGTGGAGCATCTCAACAACTCAGGATGTCAGAGGCCTGGCTGCCAAAGGCATTTAGAGTAATTGTTACACCCCAATCCCTATCTTAGTGCTGCGACTCCTGAAGAGAAGCACATCTTTGTGTTTGACCAGCTTCATTCAGTGTGATTAGAGGTAAAACTCCAATGCAGAGGGAGATAAGGTGCTCTCGGGTGCTGTGCTGGAGAGCCGCACATGGATCTGATGGGAGGGTAGCGCACGGCAAGCAGGATAAGAGCAGAACAGCCTGCCTGCACTCCATTACCTCCTTGCAAATGAGAACTCATCAAGACTGCCCGGATACCTTAAAACTTTCTTACGCAACGCTGAACCCTATTACTTATTCTAACACAAGTACCTGTGAAATTGCATTAAGGTTCAGAACAATGATTTTATGCGATGAATTGATTTTCAAGAGACTAAATGCAGGGAATAGAGTGTGCTCAGTTAAAGTAAAAAAAAAAAAAAAAAAAAAAAAAAAAAAAAAAAAAAAAAAGAGGAGGGGTGGAGTGGGAGAATAAGAATACTTAATCATCCAAATGTTGGACGGCAGCAATTAAACAGCACAGGAACACAAAATATACAAGCACCATAAATTAATGGACCTGAGAACTTAAAAAGCTGTGAACATGACCTTTCCTTTATTTAATACCCTTTTCTTGCATAAAACATTTTAAAGACTTTCCAGAGGCATTTATGAGTGGGATTTGGGAGGTATTCTTCAACCTCCATAGTCTTAGATATAAAACCAAGCTCTCTCTCTCTATATATATATAGTACAAACAGGCCTGAGCCTTCAGACTTTGGGCCAACACTTGTTGCAAGTAAAGACGGCGCTCACCTCGGTTTATGGGCTGTAATAGCGTTAACACTCTCAAAAACATGTCACCTCATTGGCCCAGAAAGTGGCTCAATGATTTACTCTACTCTCCAAACTTTAAGTGTTGCTTTCTGTTGAATCCCATCAGCGTAGAGCATTGTGGTCAGTATTTATTGTCGTTTTAGAAGTATATCCGTCTGCGGCAGTTATTGCTCAAAAGTGTCACCAATTTTCCTTGAAGCATCTTAACACCCAATTTCCTCTCTCCTCACTTTTCTTACAAGGTATGCAATGAGACTTAAGAATTTCACAGGTTCATCTGCCACAGAAGGAGACAAGAAGTTGGCAGTTTTATGGTGAGTCCCATTGCAACCATGTAGAAGCCACTAAAATCCTGAAGGGGGACTTTAAAAGTACTGAATTACTTAAGCAGCTTACACAAGATCATTATTCTTGTTTTCCATTAAACTATTAAAGGATAACTAATGGATTTCTTCAGCAGCTGACTAAACATTTATTCTTCTAATTTATACTGTTATCAAGATGGGATTTTAATGCTCTTGCCCAGTTTTTTTATATTTTTCTTTTTCTCCGTTTGCTTATGTTTCACAATCTAACCTTAGAACAGAAACTGCAAAATATAGATCAGCATTTTTTTTTTTTTTTTTTTTTACAGTTTATAGGTTTCATTAAGCAATGGAATTAACATAATCCTTTCCTAATTACCACAGCTACCGATGCTTATCACTTCTCTACTTGAGAATGTTTAAACTAAAGAAGGACCACGCTATGAAGTACTCCAGATCTCTGATGGAATATTTTAAGGTAATCTCTGTTCTGTTTAACTTGTGTTCACACAGAAGGAGATTCACCCCAGCCTTAAGGACTCATTGCACCATTTATCCTCTTCAATGGGAGACGTGGTCAGGATGACTATAAGGAGAGGACAAAAGTTGTTTCTCTTTTCTTTTTTTTTTTTTTTAAAAAAAAGTTTTCTGACCAACTAGCTCCAATCTCAGTTTCGCTCCTCCTGCCTTTGAGGAAGCCCATGCAACCTTAACGGTGTTTCTCCTGATTCAGGGCCTGATTGAAAGCCCCTTGAAGTCTTTGGACATTTTTGTCTTGACTTCAATGAGCCGTTCATCTGGTCTTCCATAGGTGCAAGTCGCATCAAAAAAAGACCCAATGATTACTGGCTCAGGATCTTCCATGAGATGCATGCCACTTACTTTGGCCTCAACCCAGGCCACTGTCTCTTTAAAGGTGGCTAGGACGGAAATCATATGACAGTTTACATTCAACTGTAGGCAGTGATTTTTAAAATTTATTTCTTAAAAACAAAAAAGACTTGGGGCCTGATTCTCTTTTATGAGGAGGCCACTTTGCATGACAGTAGTTGCATTAAGGACATTTAAAATGGATGTATACATAGCAGTGTTGAGAATCAGGTCCAGATTTTGAGAAGCAGTTAAAAAAAAATTATCGTGCTTTTTTCAGGACTTAAGATCAAATCCCACAAAAGAAACATCTCAGGTTGTGAATGCTAGCTACTGTGTATGTAAGGAGGACTAATGTAAATTGTATGCCAGAAACAGGCCTGAAGTATATGCGATTTAAATGTTCAGGATCTCTTTATCTGAAAGGTCTAGGTGAATTACATTTAAGAAAGGAAAATGTTAATGAAAATGTTAGTGTTGTACTGCTACATAGGACATAAGTGCTCTTAGTCTTCTGTATACATCAATGACAAGCCAGAATGCCAGGGCTTTCAACAGGTTAGTTGGGGAATGTGAAGCCTTTTATAAAACGAAGGTGGATGTTAAGCAGATCTGTTGTCTACGCTGATGTTTTGCAGGGTTTTCAAGGTGAAAGGCAACTTCCAAGGTCTAAAACAGAGCTGGATGGGAATTTTTTGACAGCATTTTTTCATCTGATAACGATATTTTGGCAAAATGAACTGCAACATTTAAAACGTAAAGCAAAATATCTGGGGAGGATTTTGGAGACTTACAGTTTTTGTCCTAGGAAAAAAATCTTGGAAAGTAGCACAAGATGGAAACACTGTCTTTCACCCAGCTCCCATCTGCAGCTCCCCCGTGACAGTCAGGATTGCTAATGTCAAAGCTGCTCTTTCATGGTTTGAAGATCTTCCAGATTGCTTAAAAGATCCCTTTGCACACCCCGTCTAATGCAAACCATTCCCTCCAGTGTTCGGTTTTTAACTGGGAAGCAACTGAACTGTGCAGAGAACATGCAGGCAAAGCCAGTGTCACCTACTAGATGGTGCAATCTGCTTTGATCCGTGTGTTTTGGAAGTTATAGTTGCAGCGTAAGTCCAGAGAAAGAGTCGGCTTCTCTTTCCAGCTACCACTGGCGCTCTCTGTGATCTTGGGCAGGCACTTAACTTCTCTGTGCCTCGCTGAAGCACTCTTTGAGTGTAAAGCCTGTGTTAAAATAGCCAAGTGGACATGCTAATAATAACACTTCACAAGGATGTTGCAACATTTAATTGAATTATCATCATGCACTTCGAAACCTTTGCAGCAAAAGTGTTATGCAGAGTGGTCACTCTTAGAAACTGGCCACTTGCCTTAGATAACGAAGACCCTCATTTTATCACTTGTAAGGGGAACTGGCAGTAATTGGTACTCTCCTATCTTGAACAAGGCTGGCAAAATCTGGACCTTGTCATTTGCTTGTTCTGTTTTTTGTTAGCATAGTATCTTGTGCAAAGTGCTGTCCAAACACCAAAGGGGAGATGGATAAGAAAAGTGTGTGTGTGTGTGTGTGTGTGCGTGCACGCACATACACACGCATATGCACTGTATAAAAGCAAGAGGATTTGGTTACATCCCCGCAATAAGATTTTCTTTCCGTCTTTCGTTATAGGCACTCGCCTATAATATATAGGATCCCATCAACACCAAGCTTCTTTTTCTATTGAAAAACTCAACAATCCCCCTGAAGGTGAAAGGCCTGCTGCACTTTGTAGAGCTTATTTTGCAGAATACATTTTAGATAAGGATAATTAAACCACTTCTTTATGAACTGCAACTGATTTTGCTGGAGCTGTTGTACATCTGATATTTCATCAAGTGACTTTCATGCTCCTGATTGGATCCTACCAATTATCCAGCCAACTATTTTATTATGAGACTATTATGTCAGGCTGATATTCTGTATGCACTGTGGCTTCTAAAACAAGAAGTGCCAAGTGTTGCTGTAATCAATATTAATGCACTTTAAATCAGACTCGCGTCTTCTGAACAAGGAAAGAATCATCTCCTTTATTTGCTTTTTGGTTTTGTTTCTTACAGAACACTTCAAAAGCCTCGCAGGTCCCCTCCCCTTGGGGTGGCAATGGAAAGTGAGTATTTGCTGCTACCTACCTCTGCCAAGGGCATGAGTGATTAGTAGAGGGGGGAGTGTTTTGTTAACCATCAGCTCTTGGATTATGCGTCCGTCTTCCATAAGTTACAGTCATGTTTCAGTCATGTAGAAAGTCTGAAAAGCTGATATGAGCTGCTACCAAATTCTCTGTTTAAGCTGAATGAGGGTGATAAAAATATCTGTTAATTAGATAGCAAGTACCATGTCATTTCAGGAAGTCAAAGTAAAGTTAACCTCCATTGCAATGATTTTTCAATGATTCGTTCAGTAACGAAAGACCAATGAATGTTTCATTGATATACAGTAAGTGCGGTTTAATAAAACTGAAGGCATAATAGTGGTGAAAATGGGAAGGCACTTAATCAACCAATTATCTGAGCCTTTATATTAATGCTAACCTCCCCCCCACACCTCAGATATAAAATCACAGTAATCTAATTATGATCCGATGTTCAGTGAAGCCACGTTACCATTGCACCCTCACTGTAGCACATGATGTATATTGTACCATATGAGCATGCCTGCGCCTTGTCCACAGAGCTCCTGGGAGCACTGCCAGAAAGCACGGCCCACCCACCAATTCCCATGTCCCCTGAACCAGCCCTGAAAATGAGGCGACAAAGCTGCCCTGGAGGTGCTTTGCTGCACTTTCAAAATATCTATCTTTCAAAATATCTATCTATCTATCTTCAGTGTGCCTGAGCACGTGGATGGAGCATGCTTCTCCAGGGCACTAGGACGTATGTCCTTCTTGCTGCCATCCCAGTGCTACCCGTGCAAGGGCAGACAGTGCTTCTTCCTTCACCTCCTTCCCCATTTTTACTTAACATCCAGCCAAATCCAAATAATTCCTATCAGACCATTCTGTTTCATGTGATTCGTGAGCAGAAAGGTCCAAAGACCCAAACCCACGATCACTCGAGTCAAGAGGAAAGAAATGTATTGCCTTCAGCAGGCTTTGAATCAGGCCCTAAGTAAACACCAAATAAAAATGAACAAGTTGTGCTTGTCTGTGTAAGAGGGACTCATTTTTACATAACACCCCTAGATGAGATGCTACCACAGGGTCTTTGATGTGTACCTGTATGCTGGCTCAGACCAGTCCAAGTGAGAGCTTATTAAACACAGCTAGGGTTAGCAGATGAAAGGGAACATTCCCAGCGTTTCAGAGACTTCAGAAAGGAAAGCTGTCCATGCTGTCCTTCGAGTGTGAGTTTCTCGGAGCTGGGACCGTCCTGAAATACTTGAAAAGCTCCCCAAGTATTGGATGCTGCCAAAATCAAAAATCAAAGATATGCCCAGGCCAAACAGCAAATCAGGCTGACAGGGTTAAGGCCACCAGTTTAGATGCATGCAAGGGAGTGATGCGGCCAGCACCGCTTCCATCTTTTGTCTTCCCAGCCATAACAACCAAGTTCCCGCATGCAGCTGAGCTGACTGGGGGACGTTATCGGTGCGAGTCCAGAACAGGGCTTGAACCATGTGCCTGTTGAGCCACAGCAAGATGCCTTGACCTGATGTCCAGCTCTCGGGTAGCTGTCACTTCCAATTTGATACTGAAGCTAGCTCCGGAGATACGTAGGCAAAAGTGCATCTGCTGCATAAGAGCCTCTTTCTTCCTTTTATTCCAAGACAGAAGCTTACCGCATGCAATAGCAATTAAGAAGAGGCAGGCAGGTATCACTGTGTGTTCACATGCTTCTGTGCTGCTCCCTGGGGGCTCCGATCTTAGGCAGGAGCTAGGCAGGTCTTTCTCTTACGCTGAGTTCAAATGAATTGGGAGCCCGCCAGAGCTGTTATGATCAGCATTAAAACTCCTTTGTCACCCGAAGTGTCGAATCCAAAGCCATGAAAACCTCCACCTGGCTTACTGGAAATTCAGGCCACGTTGGCTGACAGCATTGTCAACCTCTGCAAAGTTGGCCTGAATTCCAAGCTGGCAATGAAACAAATTTCGCCTGGTTTCATTACAGAAATTTTTTCCCACCTCTAGCTGCAATAAGCGCAAGATAGAGAGATTTAATAGACTCACCACCGTAATAATGGCAGTGCGCCTTTCCCTGCACAACAGGGTAAATCCAATGAACAGCACACTTTATTTGGCAGAAGTGCGTCAGCTTGTAAGTGGCTCTAGCAAAACACTCTCGGTCCCCTCGGATACTACATGATTGTTAACTGCTCCCAGACCTAATCAAGTAGAGTTCAGATCTTCTGTACGTTAAAAAAACACTGCGGTGGTGTCAAATCACCAGTATGTTTGGAGACTCA